TGCCTCCGGCTTCTGTCCCCCACCCCCCTTCCCTGGTCCCGGTCTCTCCTTCGGAAAGATGTCGGACACGGCAGTAGCTGATACTCGGCGCCTTAACTCGAAGCCGCAGGACCTGACCGACGCTTACGGGCCGCCAAGTAACTTCCTGGAGATCGACATCTTTAATCCACAGACGGTGGGCGTGGGCCGCGCGCGCTTCACCACCTATGAGGTTCGCATGCGGGTGAGTCACGGGGTGAGGGAGACAGCTGAGCCAGGACCTGGCGACTGGGCGGGGAGGGAGGGGGCGGGGGGAGGCTGCCCTAGGGAGGACTGCCGGTGCAGAAGACGCTTGAGGGGTCATCTGCGGGGTAGGGGCTTACTAGGTTTGCGGAGAGGTCTGTACGCTCGGTTGTGACCCCAGGCTACAGAAAACTCCTGAGGGGGACATCTGACGGGCGTGAGGGAAAACAAGAACCCATGAGCAAGAAGTGAAGCATGGCTGGATTTGGTGGGGAGGATGGGGAGGATTAGAGTGAGGAATTCAAGAAAATAGGAATCAGGACTGTAGCGACAGAAAGAGGAAAGGAAGAGTGGAAGAGGGCTGGGGGATGGAAAGCCCAGGCGATATGTTGCAGGGTCCCATAACTAAACTAGGTTGTGTGAAGTCAGTCTGAAGACGGGGGACAGAAAGGCCCAGCTTCTTCCTAATGAGGTCCCCCTGAATGATGGAGTTAAGCAAAGCCTGGATAAAGGGAAGATAGATTCCAGGAAAGGGAGATTGTGGGCTTGGTGGAGCAGAAATAAGGGGAGTCTCCTTGAGACTGAGTGCTTCCCAGACTTGTGCAGAATTGACATCTGAAGGAGAGAAGTGTTTTATGCTTAAGTTTTCACAGGTACACATGCCAAGTCTCACTGGGAAACCTGGCCTTGCATGGGGATTGGTGGATTGTCAGTTTGCCCTCATCCTTTGCTGAGCTTTTAGATCTGAAGTATCCAGAATGTTTATTTCAATATTTATTGGCTTTCATTTGGGTTTTCTCTATATGAATGGCCATTTGCCCTTTTGGTCCTAGACTAACCTTTTGGATTCATTCTTTTAGCCCCTGGTCCGTAGTTAACTTTAATATATTACATTTCAGGACTGCCCTAGGAGTGGCTTCTAACAGTGTGCGCTACAGAGGACTTTATTCTCTAGTTCTTAGTCCACAATGCAAAGATGGAATGTGGAGATAGAGTACATGGTTTGCAAGTTCTTTTGCCGAGTTGAAGTGGTTACAGGCAAGAAAGTTTGAAGACCATTTTCTAATTTTCCTTATGTTTTCTTCTCAGACTAGAGGGCCAGAATGTTCTCTATGGACAGCATGCTGCTCAAACAGCATTTGAAGACCTAAAAGAGTGTATGTGCTTTCATTTTGGAATGAATGAATTGAATGAGAGTGTGCTCCTCTCTGGGCTTTGAAATCTCATTGAGAAATGATGATCTCCAAATTCCAGGTTTGGCAAAGTCCAAACTGAAGAAAGAAAAGTGAATAGCAAAAAAAAAAAAGAGAAACTCATCCACATAAGAACTGTTTGAAATCATCTCTTTGAGGAAGAATGCAAGTTAAAGCCTTTAACATATGACAAAAGCTAGGAACTGTTAGTGGTAGAGAAGTTAATTACCTGAGGAAGCCCGGGCGTAAGAACTCTCTGCTGTGGAGTTTTGGAGACATTGTCTTGACAAATTACCCAAGAGCCCCGTAGGGATTATGAATGGAATTGTTCTCTAGTTCAGGCATACTAATAGCAGCGGGCAGTGTTCATCTAGTGCCTGTTGTGTGCCAGGCATTGAACTAGGTTTTAGTTTGTAAATCCTTACAAAACACCATTTTACAGATAAGAAACTGAGGAGGAATGCAGTTTAAGTAACTTGCCCAAGTACACATAGCTAAGTGGTAGGCCTGGAATTTGAACCCAGGTCTGTCAGACTCCAAAGCCAATCACACGCTTTCCACTACACTTTAGTCTCTTTGGCAATGCTTAGTTGCAAAACTTTAGCATGCAGAATTTTTCTACCCACTGAGCTTTTCATCCTTTCCACAATCACTAATTGTATGGTGTTGATAGGGTTGATGGCAATTCCTAGTTCTGTGGGTTTGAGTTAATTTATATTGTTTATGTTAATTTGTATGGCAATATATAGGCTTTTGATATTTTTACTTAACTCTGTTTCGGGGAAAACTGGTAAAATAAGTTGGTTTTAAATTGCTATTTTAAGTGCCTAATCATGATAGGCATGAGACTCAGAGAATGGGCTTTGGGAGGTAGGTATTGTGTATGGTAGAAGCAGATGGCACTGACTTCTTTTCTTTGTGTAATAGCTCAGGAAAGGACCCCCCTGCTCTGGAAGAAATAAGGATTCTGGAGAGGTGTCCTGGGTGACTTCACATGATATGTATGGAACTTTTCAAATGTCAGTTGTCTTATGGACTTAAATTTTGCTTCTTACGCTCCTTTTCCTTGATTTTGTGTTGATCAGAGCTGAAGGACTCTCTATGCTGTAGTGCACAATCTTGTCTTCTTCGTACAATTTGTAGGTTGGAGCTGGGAGAGTATCCTGGTATACATAGTAGCCCCTTCCTTAGATGGCTAGGTGCTGAGATGAAAGGCCATTATTGTCACCATCCTGTGGGGGTAGGGAAAGAATAGTATTTTTGTAAGTCAAAGGAGGAAGTCCACAAAATGGCAGTGGTGGTTTTCACTGTGTCTTGGAAGAATCTACTCAGCATTTTTTTTCTTTTCTTAGGTCCTTCTGTTGGCTTCTGTAAAAGCCTGCTAGTTAAGGCTCTGCTGTTTGGGGATCACAGTGTAATGAATTCTGGTGGAAACCTAGAATCACATGATACTGAAGGGCATTTTTTCTTGCATGATTATTTTTATCCCTAGCTTTATTGAGATATAATTGACAGATAATATTGTGTAAGTTTAAGGTATACAATGTGATGATTTGATACACATGTATTTCATGCAAGGATCTGAGAATGTTCTCTATAATGGTTTATTTTGAGTAGTTAATACATGCACATGGAACAAAACCAAAAGGTAGAAAAAAGACTATATTTATTGAAAAAAAATTCATGTATAAATGGACCTGCACGGTTCAAACCTGTATTGTTCAGCAGTCACTGTACTGTAAAAACAAAGTCTCTCTCTCTCCCTCTGCCCTCTTTCTGAATAAACAACTGTTTCTACTTTTTAATTTAGTCTCCTAAAGAATAGTTTAGGTAATAAAATACTACTTTACATGTATCTCACTCCACTTCAACATTGACATTCTTTGGACCTTGATCCTCAGTAGAGTTGTAACTAATGTAAGATGACCAGTTATGTGGCTTTTGATGCCCTATACCTAGAACTGGATCCTGAAAAGACATCTTGCAGACTTGAGGACTGACTACAAGGCATGACATAGTGAGGAATGTGAGAAGCTCTAGCATAGCATCCTGGCAGGATGCCCTTTTCCTGCTTTGAGTCAGTTGTAGAGAAAGGAGAGGAACTCCTTTTATTTCCATCTGCTGATTTGAATTGGCTGGAGGGAAATATAGTTAGTATTAATACTTTTGGTTGGCCATTTCCATTTAGAACTTGTAGATCAGAGTGAGGATCAGGGTTTTTTGCTTGTTGGGGTTCATGTTGCCCTTGGAACCTTGGGAAAATTCTCAATGATTAAGATGTGAGAATAAGCTGATTTACATCAGGGAGCACACCAACTTAAACATTGCTATTTCTGCTGCGCTTGCTGGATAAGGAGAGGGTGAACATACATAGGGCCTCTGTTAATCGATTGAGTATTGAGTAACTTGCATAGTCTGCATTTAGGGAAATGCAGAAGTAGTCATGACTCCTGATTTCAATGAAATTATAGTTTAGTTAGGCAGCAAGACTAACACAATGCATAAAACAATAGTGTGTCAGGCAGTACTAAAGTATAAGTGTCATAAGAGTTCAGAGGAGTGGGAGATCAATAAATTAAGCTGGTGTCAGGAAAGACTTCCTGGATGAAGTGAGACTTGAGCTGGGACTCGTAGAGTGGAGAGGATTTGGACAGGAAAAGCAGAGGAAGCCATGCTTTGGGGGTGCTTATCTCTTGTTCTTTACAGAGAACTTAAATTCACATTTCAGTTGAAAATGTAATACATACAGATGGTAAATTCAGATTTTACAGTGAAAAATGACCCACCCATTCTAGTTGTCCAGTCTTATTCTCCAAAGTCAATCACTATTACCAGTATCTTTTCATAAATATTTTATTCATAAATATACATGTATACACATATACATATCCCTTTTAAAACCACAAATAGAGGCAGGTGATATATACTGTTCTGTACCTTGATTTTTTTCATTTGTATATATATAGTTTTTATTGATGTATAGGCAGTTTGCAATGTCTCAGTCTGGCATACAGCATTATGCTTCAGTCATCATAAACATACATATATTCATTTTCATATTCTTTTTCACCATAAATTACTACAAGATATTGAACATAGTTCCCTATGTACCTTGATTTTAATGCCTAATATCTTTCTATACTGGGTCATATGTATCTTTCACATTCTTTTCATAGTTGTATTCCACTGTATAGGCATACCATAATTTATTTAACCAATGTAAACCAAAATGTAAGGGTTTTCACTGAATTTGATTTGCAGTAATAATAGATGTCCATCAATAGATAATTGGTTAAGTAAATTATGGTATGCCTGTACAGTGTATATACATTTTTATGTACAGCTTCAAGTCTCCTTGTAGGATAAATTCTAAGCAGCAAGGGACTTCTGATCACCACCCGTGACAAGGTTGGATGTGGTAAGGATTGGTATTCACTTGCTGGTATTTTGAAAGGGTTATAGGACCATGGTCCATAGGAGCTGTTTCTTAAGACCTTTCCAAGTGGTTCTGACAGGCGGCCATCACAGGCTGAACATTACTAACCATCTCTCTTCTCTCATTCTTTATTCCCTGTAGACAAACCTACCTATCTTCAAGCTGAAGGAGTCCTGTGTACGGCGGCGCTACAGTGACTTTGAGTGGCTGAAAAATGAGCTGGAACGAGATAGTAAGGTATGGCCTTGTGCCCTGTGTGGCAGCCTTGGGAGAGGAGATCTGCATAGGCTGAGAGGGCGTAAGATGGCATAGTCTATAAAACCGCGAAGGCAGTAGAGAGGGTGGACGTACTCTATCTCCCAAATCCCAATATATTGGATCGGATATTGAATATCCAGTATATTGAATCCAATATATTGAAACTTGAAAGTGGTAAGTTCAGGAGAAATTTTTAAGAAAAATCATTACTTGACTTAGTGGCTAGTAAAGTCATATAACTTAATTCCTGTAGGTACTACAAATGGGAAGTATGGCTAAATTCTTGGATGGTAGTGAAGAATATTTGGAGTTTATTTCCTTTCTTTTGAGATGGTAAACCTGTCCTCCCACAAAAACTGAGCTGGATTAATTTTTGACCTGAGGCATCCTGACTGTTCCCATGGTCTCAGTTTTTGCAAGTTGCTGGCTGTGGCATAGGATGGAACCTATGCCTAATAGGAAATGAAGTATACAGTGCTTTATCATCTCGTCCCCTCTCTGTCCTCTCCCGTGTGACTGATATTTTGTGTCTGCCTGCAGATTGTAGTACCACCACTGCCTGGGAAAGCCTTGAAGCGGCAGCTCCCTTTCCGAGGAGACGAAGGCATCTTTGAGGAATCCTTTATTGAAGAAAGGAGGCAGGGCCTCGAACAGTTTATTAACAAGTAAGCCACGATCCTGGGGATTCCTCTTGCTACTTTTGCCATCTTGATCTTTCTGTATGTTTCATCTCTCTCCTCCATATTACCCATAATGGGTAATATGACGTGGTGCCGATTGTGTGGTGGGCTAACTGGACAGTAAAACTCCATTCCACTGAGCAGAATGCTGATCCTGTCCCTCAGAGCCCGAGAAAGCAGTGCATGTTGGATGTGTGTAGGGATTTCCCTGTGCCTTACCCCTCGGTCCCCTTCCCCTCTACAATGTTAGGGTTGAAGCGGTGCCCTGCTGCTGTCCTCTACTTGCTTGAACCTCAGAGCTGACTTTGTCCTTCTTCCCCTGTCCCATATCCTCACTACCATCATTCTGCGAATTCTCTCTGATCCCAAATACTGCTGATAACCATCTTGGTCTCTTTATAGAATTGCTGGGCACCCACTGGCTCAGAATGAACGCTGCCTACACATGTTCCTGCAGGAGGAGGCAATTGACAGGAACTACGTCCCTGGGAAGGTGCGCCAGTAGGAGACCCTCTACCACCTGCCCTCTACTTTCCTGCTGAAATGACATTGGTTTTTACACTAAGCCTCTCTCTCTCTTTGATCTGAAGTTGGCCGTGCCCATCCCCTGGCCTGATAGACTGTCTGGCATTGTGTTCCTTGGTACCTGACTATACCGTGGGCACTCTGCTGGGATCCTCTTCTCTGAGGAGAGGTGGGAGACCACAGGCAGATGCCCTTTGCTTGGGGTTGGGGAGTGGGTGGGGGGATTGGACTGGAAGGCAATTTCTTGGGCATTTACCCATGCCAGAAGGCTAACCTTGAGGGGGGCGGGTCTTGTGCTGGGGTGGGGCACTTGGATACATACTGATGCTGCAAGTTCAGGGGATTTTTCTTACTCTTAGGTTTAACCAGGAACGCTGAGCAGGGAAAGACCCTGCCTTTCCTACCTGCATGAACTTTTTTCCTTTTTGGGAAGGTGGCAGAGACCTAAAAGTTCTTGTTTTCTCTAGGCCTGTTCCCAGTTTTCTCAACAGTTTCTTTTGTTACTTTCTCTCTCCCTTGTTGCTTTTCATGGCAGTAATCCTCTTACAGTCTAAGCAGTCTGTTTAGTGGCACAAGGTGTGTGGGTTTTCTGGGCCCATCATCATGGCTGCTTCAGATCAGAAGAAAGCCATAGGGCAGTAAGGGAGCTCCTGTTGCCTAGCCCCTCTCCGTTGTGGCTCCCCGCTCTGGCTGTCTTTTCTTGCTCACCAGCGGTGAGTCAGTATGGGCTGAGCAAGCAGTTCTTCCTCCCCCAAGCCCTCGCTACTTATGGGTTAACTTTGCAGGTTTGGTGGTGTGAGGGCTGGGGGAAACTCACCACTGCCAGGTAACTCCCTGAAGGGTGGGAGTGGATCATTTTCTAGGTACCTCCCAGTGGTAGGGAAGGACATCACCATTCTCTTCCTTCCATTCTCCCTTCCCCTCATCCCATTTAGTGCTGCCATGGGGCAGAAACACATGAGCAAACCACACAGTCTCTGACTTCTCCTAAGCACTTTGAGCTGTTGAATGGGGCTTAGGGGCAACAGTTGTCACTGCCCTCCCCAGCTTGATCACAGGGTTAATGAACTGCCTGCACTTGTTTCCCACGGGACTCCAGCATTCTCCCTGGAAGTTGAGCTAGGGATAGCAGCTGGGTATAGATTTCCAAAATCTTAGAGTCTGAAGCAGCTTCTTGAGGCTGGCGACTTTCCTGAGCTTCTGTCTAAGAGGTAGTGGTTTGTTTGCTGAGGCCCGATATCTATCCCAAGTGGTGGGTTGGGAGCAGGTTAACTCTGGTGTTAGGTCAAAAGCGAGGGCTCTTTGCTTAGACTCCCTGTCATGGGAGAATTGGAGTTCTTTTATATAGGGTCTTGGGGAAAAGGGACAAGACCATGATTGGAGAGATTAGGATTGGAGTTTGACATGAGATTTGGAGTCCATCTAAATGTTAACGTTCCCTAAGACAGATCAGCTCTCCAGCTGCCGAGCCTGTGCCAGGGGCTGAGCAGCGCCTAGAGAGAGACTCTGCTCCCTTTCCCATCTCGCCAGTGTTGGTGGTGTTGCTGCCTTTTTCATTTGTATCCTCTGTTACTGATTTTTTTTAAGATTCCTTCTTTCAT